CAGTAATTTGCACCAGAGGTACACTTCAACTGTGAGAGACAGAATGTGAAAAAAAAATCCATGAATCCACATAGTAGGATTTGTAAAGAATTTATTCGTAAATCAGGGTGGAAAATAAGTATTTGGTCAATAACAAAAATACAACTCAATACTTTGTAACATAACCTTTGTTGGCAATAACAGAGGTCAAACGTTTACTATAGGTCTTTACCAGGTTTGCACACACAGTAGCTGGTATTTTGGCCCATTCCTCCATGCAGATCTTCTCGAGAGCAGTGATGTTTTGGGGCTGTCGCCGAGCAACACGGACTTTCAACTCCCGCCACAGATTTCCTATGGGGTTGAGGTCTGGAGACTGGCTAGGCCACTCCAGGACTTTCAAATGCTTCTTACGGAGCCACTCCTTTGTTGCCCGGGCGGTGTGTTTTGGATCATTGTCATGTTGGAAGACCCAGCCTCGTTTCATCTTCAAAGTTCTCACTGATGGAAGGAGGTTTTGGCTCAAAATCTCACGATACATGGCCCCATTCATTCTGTCCTTAACACGGATCAGTCGTCCTGTCCCCTTGGCAGAAAAACAGCCCCATAGCATGATGTTTCCACCCCCATGCTTCACAGTAGGTATGGTGTTCTTGGGATGCAACTCAGTATTCTTCGTCCTCCAAACACGACGAGTTGAGTTTATACCAAAAAGTTCTACTTTGGTTTCATCTGACCACATGACATTCTCCCAATCCTCTGCTGTATCATCCATGTGCTCTCTGGCAAACTTCAGACGGGCCTGGACATGCACTGGCTTCAGCAGCGGAACACGTCTGGCACTGCGGGATTTGATTCCCTGCCGTTGTAGTGTGTTACTGATGGTGACCTTTGTTACTTTGGTCCCAGCTCTCTGCAGGTCATTCACCAGGTCCCCCCGTGTGGTTCTGGGATCTTTGCTCACCGTTCTCATGATCATTTTGACCCCACGGGATGAGATCTTGCGTGGAGCCCCAGATCGTGGGAGATTATCAGTGGTCTTGTATGTCTTCCATTTTCTGATGATTGCTCCCACAGTTGATTTTTTTCACACCAAGCTGCTTGCCTATTGTAGATTCACTCTTCCCAGTCTGGTGCAGATCTACAATACTTTTCCTGGTGTCCTTCGAAAGCTCTTTGGTCTTGGCCATGGCGGAGTTTGGAGTCTGACTGTTTGAGGCTGTGGACAGGTGTCTTTTATACAGATGATGAGTTCAAACAGGTGCCATTCATACAGGTAACGAGTGGGGGACAGAAAAGCTTCTTACAGAAGACGTTACAGGTCTGTGAGAGCCAGAGATTTCCATGTTTGATGTGACCAAATACTTATTTTCCACCCTGATTTACGAATAAATTCTTTACAAATCCTACCATGTGAATTCATGGATTTTTTTTTTCACATTCTGTCTCTCACAGTTGAAGTGTACCTCTGGTGCAAATTACTGACCTCTGTCATCATTTTAAGTGGGGGAACTTGCACAATCAGTGGCTGACTAAATACTTTTTTGCCCCACTGTATGGTGAATGTTGAGAATGAATGACAGTCATGATCATAAGTTTATTCTTCACTTCTTAAGCTGCTGGAGATTTCAGAAATGTAAAGTGTGTGTTGTTAATGCTACACTCAATTAGATGGATACTGGTTAAACATGTGCTTTCCCGTATGAAATTCCTTCTGTCCTAATCTCACCTCCTCTTCCTTGGAATCTACCAGAGGTTTCAACTTTCACTTCCTTTTAGGGCCTTCCTTCAGAGTCAGCGTATTACATCAAGAATAAACTTTACATTTTAATGGCAAGGCAAGGCAACGCATTAAGCATCTACACAAAAGGGAGAGTGATGATGCATACACTGTTAGAAAGTCTGCAGATGTTTGCATCCACTTATTTTTAAAATAAAATGGGTGGATTTTTGTCTTCACTGGTTCACTGGTAACTGTTCAATAGAGTGTATAGTTGGTGGATGAATTACAAGTGGGAAATCTGTGAAAACAAAGAAGACGGCGTCTAAAGACAGCATCATGGAGCAGCCAGAAACTACCAACACTGTGGTACAGAGCATCTAGAGAAACCACAGCTGTCAAAAGACAACTATTACACTGGTCAGAGGGCCCGGTGGCGCCAGTGTCCGGCAGCCTTGCCTCTGTCAGTGCGCCCCAGGCAGCTGTGGCTACAATGTAGCTTGCCATCGCCCGCCAGTGTGTGTGTGAATGGGTGAATGACTGAATGTAGTGTGAAGCGCTTTGGGGTCCTTAGGGACTAGAAAAGCGCTATACAAATGCAGGCCATTTACCATTATGTTTTATCATGCACAGTCTGCTCAAACATATTTATTGCAGGCAAGTTTAAACGACACTAGTAGGCACTCAAAGACAACAAATGGCTGCTGCAGTTTTTTCTCTTTTACTGTACACACACACACACACACACACACACACACACACAAGACAAAAAAACAACCAAACCAAAGCTTATAGTCCAACCTAAAGATGAACGTGACTTTGTACAGCTTGATCACATGATGCTTCACAGTCCAAACATGCTTCACTTTGTCTTACACTCTCTCTCTCTTTCATGCACATATGCGTTCATGATTATTCCTAGGAAATTTCAGCCTGTAAAAATGACAGGATTACAGCTCCAAAGAAAGAAAAAAACAGTATTTTTTTTGGATTGAAGGGCTTTGATATAAAAGCACTTGTTAACAAATGCAAGTGAGCCAGATTGACGTTCATCACTTAAATGTCTAACAAGCACAGGCAGACAGAGATGGACTATTTCCAATGTAGCTGCCTTTGTGTCTAAGTGCTGGAATTAAGTGTGGTGCAATATGACTGACCCACGTGAAAAAGCTGGTATGGGAAAATAATCCCTGGAAATCTTCTTTATGTTCCTACAAGGATTTTAGGCTTGATACTAACAAAAGGAGAGTAGAAAAAGAAAAATATACAAGGCAAAAAGGGATCACCCCTCTGAAGGTTGGGGTTTGTTTGGATCAGTCACAGGGAAGATATTTTTAGCTTAACTGTCATCCAAACAATGACTTTCTGGACAAGTTTGTTCAATTATAAAATATCTGAAAATATCATAAATTATATCAATGATCTAACTGAGAATGTTCACCAGTAGCATTATGCTTCATCAACATAGCACAAACTAAAACATTATTATTGTTTCAGCCTGAGATAGAGTGGTAAGACCAGAGTACCAGAGGAAACACAGCACAGCAAAGTATGAGTTAAAGATAATGTGTCTTTAGGTTGACATTAGTTATAACCCTCTGCACTTCAAGTATGCCGGTTACCGGAAAAACCTTTATCGTTGCAAATCACAGACAATCTTTATGGTTTACTTGGATTACTAAAGAGGAATGCAGTGTGGGGGTGACAGTCATGACAAAGCTCACTTTTCACTAGTAAGAAAGCAAGAAAGAGGTTACAGTTGCAACACTTGGTGTTGATCCAATTCTTAGTTTTATCTGAGCCACAATAGCAGTTCCAGAGTACTGCTGACTGAAAGCCAGCTGTGATGCAAGATATCTGTGAAAACTATATTCTAACTGAAAGCCAGCAGTATTTTCACCAGAATCTTTATTTGGATCCCACAATTCAGGTGTTAAAGAGGGTCACCGAATATGTGTTAATGATCAGACTGTACCATTCTGAGGCCATGCGATTCAACAAAGGCATCTGCATTAGAGCAGAGTCCATATAAAGACGGAGGGATGGAGCAGTCAACTTTGTGATTTTCCATAAAACTGCAAAAAGGTCATCAAAGTGTGTTTGGTGGACTCTCCTGTGCTAATGTGCCCTGACAAAAGCAGGATTTGAGAATGAGCTCTGGAGATTCAGCGGGAAACAAATCAGACAATGATGCCTTTGCTCTGGATGTCTGCATCACAGCCCAGTTACTCGTCTTTGTACGAGGAATAACAAAAGACTATGAAGGAACTGGCAGTAGTGCCAGTCAGTGATAGGGACTACAGTAGGAAGTGATTTGTTCTTGAAGGTAACTCCATGCTTAGCTAAGGCTTAACCTGCAATGGGATACACTGGCAGGTTTTACAACCTATGGATGTCCAAATCTGACCAGGAAGAATGCCAGACTTCACAAAAGGCCCAGTTTCTTATGTGGCCCATTGGAAAAATTCATTGCTCACCATTGGATTGGAGCCCCCACACCCCCAAGAAAATATTATGTCAATATGTTTAGAAAGAAATAATATTTAGATAAGGCATATTCCTCTGGGGACTCAGTACATCACATCCTTACAATGATGAAAGTGCACACTCTGCTTATAAACATGCTGATTTCAAAAGGATAGAAACACAGTGCAGATTTACTGTGTTTATGCAAAGATACACAAGTACATCTCCAAAGAATGGATGAAAAAAATGCCTTTTTAGTAGAGTTCTAAGGAGGACATGTTATGCTCTAACGTTCCCTTTCTTTTTATTTACTGTAAATCTCAGGAAAAGACAAATGCTGTTTATCGTAAGGAGAACTGTAAGTAAACTTTGAGGAGAGTGCAACAGAAAGAGTAAAAGATTAGGCATCAGCGCTTCTGCTGTCCAAACTGTTGATATTAGACTGATCGTTGAGAGAGATTTCACTTCTCTGGAAGTAGCTCAGCAACATAGAAGTTCATTTATTCTCAAGACTCACACATTAGTGACTGGAGTTAGTTCAAACATGAAAAGAGAAGTCTGACGTCAGTTTCAGCGAATACAAGCGACACCTGAAGGCAGGCATGTCTCAACATAAAGAAGTCACAGACAAAGTCCTTACAATTAGGTGAATGTAGAAAGTTTAAATGCCAAAGAATTGCGACAGCAGGATTTACAGTGTGGGAGAACGCAAATCAAAAAAAAATTTTTTTATTGCAGCCACTTCTTAGGAAGACATCCTTGGCCGGGGTCCACGTACCTGTGAGTGTATATAAGGAGGTTCAGAGATGATGAACCTCACAGTCCTGCACACTCAGGCAGCTCGAGAAGTGAAGGAGACGCACAGCAGCAGAGATCCTTCATATCTGAGAAGAACAAACCAGTTGAAGACTGAGCCTTCAGTAGATCCTCCACTCAATAATTTAAAAGCTTTAAAATGAAGACAAGTGTTGCCATCCAGTGCATCGTTCTCCTGGCCTGCATGGCCCTTTGCACTTCACATGGTAAGTGTGTTTCATCAGATTATGGAAAACTTTGTTGTATTTGTGCAGTTTGAGAGAAGCTAAGTTATGCTAACAAATCAATTTAGATATATTTATGTTTAAGTAAAATATGAAACTGCAGCAGTTTAACCTTAATTATCACTTTCTACCTTTTCCAGTTATTCCAAGGTGCCGGTGTTTGAAGCCCAGTAAGTCTGTAAGAGGTCCCATCACTGAAGTTAAGGTGGATGAGCCTCGTCCATACTGCAACAGGAGAGAAGTCATGTAAGTGCCCACAGTGACAGGAGCACATTATTAATAAGAGCTCAGTCATTAATAAGGATTGTTTATAAAGTGTTTTTATATCAAAGCTTTCTTTACATGTTACAGAGTCACACTGAAGGATGGGAGTGAACGGTGTCTCGATCCTGAGTCTAAATTCACCATAATGCTGCTAGAAAAACTGTAAGTCACACAGATGTTTTTTCTTTCATTCGCTGTTATTCAGCTAAATGTGAGTTAAATGTTATAGAGGAAGTCAGTGAAGTTAAAACAGGAACATCAACTCACTTTGGAGCATCAGTGCGAGGCTCTGCACATCAGTGATTAAAAATCAGAATCAGCATACTTTATTAAACCCTAAGGAAATTGTGTGGGTTAGAGTTTCTCTTGTATGGTAACACAACACTGATGGTTTTACTGATGGTTGTAGAGCAGCAGTTTAAAGCTCAGGGTAAAAATGCATGACTTGATCTCTTCACTACCACTGGAGCTTCAAGGTCTCATCTCTGTGATACGTTGTCTTTGCAGGAATCAGATGAAAAATACGACCATCAGCCCTCAAACAACCACATCACCAGCCGCAGTGCCAGAATCATCATGATCCACTTTGCATGTTTAGCGCTGGTACAACATGTGTCGATCAAGAAGGAGCAGCACAGCTCGGGTTCTCATCACAAAATATAAATGCAAAGTAGACAGTGACAGCTACAACTGACAGCAAGTTGTAAACAGATTTAATATCAGATGTAAAATATTTATTATCCAAGTTCTCAGTCATTTTTTTCCGGAGACAATCAGGGACGGGCGTTGGAAATCTTATCATTCAGCCTGTCTTCTGATTGAATTTCTGATTAATAAGCATTTTTTTTTTTAAAGTATGTTTTTTGAGTTTTGTGTCAGACAGCAGTGCTCTTATTCAGTGCACATGCAGACGTGATGTGTGTGATAAATGTGAGCAGTGGTTATAGGTTAATGTGTAATTTATCTATTATTAAAGGGTTTGTAAACAATTAAAGAAGTGAACTTTTGTGGATACAGCATGTTTATGTACCATGTTTATTTTTAATGCTGAAAAGTTCCTCAAAATAAATAATAAATCTGGCGTTTGTTAAAAAAAATTACATCTTTTCACTTTATTATAACTAACAACTCACCAGTTTACCACCACTTAAGACACAGTCAGCAAAAAGAGAACAAAAACAAACAAAACAAAAGGAGAGGCCAAATCTAAATATCAATATGTTTGGCATTAAACCTGGTTTCACTTCAAACTATGAGCATCAACTGAAAGAAAAAAAGGTTCCAAGTCATTAAACTGCTTTGCTTTTATCTCTGAGCTGTGAAAGAGATTGATTCATGAGCGGTGATGTGTTACAGCATCGCTCACAGTAGATCAAGACAGCAGATTGGATGTAAGCATGTGTAAAAACACAGATATGCTTAAAAAGTAAAAAGTTTCTTTCTTCTGTAATTTGTACAAATTAGAGATCAAGATCAGCATTATGTAGGACACTCACTGGCCATTTTATTAGGTACACCTCTCTAGTACTGAGCCCACTCTTGCTTTGGACTTCCTGTTTCCTTCATATCAGCTTGAAGCACTCTGGTCGTTTTCTGGCATCAGAACTCCCGCTCACTGGAATTTTTTTCTTTTCTGCCCTTTCTCTGTAAACCACAGAGGTGGTTGTGTGGGAAGAAATCTGTAAATAAAAGTTTATAAAGAAGTCCCCTTTATAATTCCTGGACTGCAACTAAAAAGATGATAAACCTGAAATATCTAAATTATGACTGTTTTATGCAACTAATGCAACCATTTCACAGACTTGCTTGTTTTTTTAAAAAGCTTTATACACTTACACATTTTGCAAAACAAAATACGATCACATTTAAATTGTGTAATTTCATTTGTAGTGAAGCATTTCTGGGATAGGCTCCAACCACCCCACCCCGCCCCGCCTGCAACCCTGACAACATTAAGTGGAGGATAATGAATGGATGGCATTTCTGAGTGGACTTGTTGTGGTTAAGCATATGCAGCTCCAGAGTTTGACCATTTTTTGTGCATTTTTGTAAAATTCCTTTGAACTTTGTTTTCTGTTGTAACTTTTCCAGGCCCTCTTGTAACTCATTGTTTACTTTGCATATGATGAAACACTTTCATCCCATATCTGCAGAACTGCCATTCCTCACTAAAAGGAAGTCAAAATTTTTGAACTAACGCCTGAAAGATGGCGTCAGCTTTTTCTGCAGACAAGATGAATGTACTTTTTTTCTAACTGAATAGTTTGTGTTTATTATCTCGGAAGAGGGCCAAATTAAAACAAAACAAAACAACAAAAAACATTATCATATAGTTTCAATACTGTTCACTTACCTCTGCCAAACAGTGACTGTATAAAGACTCGACCTGCATGGTTAGCTGTGTGATTGCAGAGGAATGTGCTGGGTGTCTGCCAGAAGGGAAATATCTCACTCTGCTCTTGAGATAACAGAGGTCAATGCTGTCACTATACCTGGTTTTGAGCCAGTTGCCGGTGTTACTCATCATTACTCACATGAACTCCAGAGTAGTACTGTTGGCTCCAAGCCAGCAATAGTGCTGGAAAGTTACTCAAAATATCCAGAGCTTTTATTTGAATCCCAGAATCCCCCTTCAGCAGGTAATTCAGGTCCCAAATATGAACCCATCATACAAGAACAAAACCTCAACACTGACCGGAATGAGTCTAGACGCAGGTGGTGGTGAAGGTGGAGGCTTGGATGGAGCTCTGAGTGACCAGCATGAAGTGAGAGATGGGAAGGAGGTGGGCTGAGTGAATGAGAGTCAGAAAGGCAGAATAACACAAGAGAGCTGAGATATAAAGTACGCTGAACGGGAGCTGACTGGCTCGAAGAAGTTGGTCAAGAAGATGATTGTACTAGAGCTGTGATGTCAGCAGTGTGGTAAAGTGGAAGTGTTGTAGAGGACAGACTAGCAGCCGAACACCTACGAAAGCAGGCAGATCACTGATTACAGATCTCCCTTAGTGAACTTGCACATGATTGATTACAACTTGCAGCCTGAGAGACTGAACTTTAGAAATATACTCTGTTTGGTCTTCTTGTAGACCAACTCTGCATGTGAAGTACAGATGGTATTAAGTCCCAGAGCCCAGATAAAGGAAGATCTTGACAACCTGTCCCACCAGCCTTCAGTGTCCACTGCAACACAGCTGTATGGTCTCGCTGAAGGTCAAGTTTCAACAAGTTTACTTGGAATTGAATATTTGTAAACTCAAATGTGATGCAATGAGGAGCTGTTAACAGGAATTGAAAGTACAACACAGCCACTGGATTTCTACTGTGAGAGGACAGGAAACAGATTTTTTGCAGCCACTTCTTAGGAAGACATCCTTGGCAAGAGTCCACCCAGCTGTGAGTGTATATAATGAGGTTCAGAGATGATGAACCTCACAGTCCTGCACACTCAGGCAGCTCGAGAAGTGAAGGAGACGCACAGCAGCAGAGATCCTTCATATCTGAGAAGAACAAACCAGTTGAAGACTGAGCCTTCAGTAGATCCTCCACTCAATAATTTAAAAGCTTTAAAATGAAGACAAGTGTTGCCATCCAGTGCATCGTTCTCCTGGCCTGCATGGCCCTTTGCACTTCACATGGTAAGTGTGTTTTTATGGAAAACCTTGGTGTATCTGTGCATCTTGAGTGGAGCTTTAATTTAAATTTAATTTAAATATAGTTATGTTTAAGTAAAATATGAAACTGCAGCAGTTTAACCTTATTTATCACTTTCTACCTTTTCCAGTTATTCCAAGGTGCCGGTGTTTGAAGCCCAGTAAGTCTGTAAAGATCGCTCTCATCGCTCAACTCAAGCTGGATGAGCCTCGTCCATACTGCAACAGGAGAGAAGTCATGTAAGTGCCCACAGTGACAGGAGCACATTATTAATAAGAGCTCAGTCATTAATAAGGATTGTTTATAAAGTGGTTTTAAATCAAAGCTTTCTTTGCATGTTACAGAGTCACACTGAAGGATGGGAGTGAACGGTGTCTCGATCCTCAGTCAAAAACCATCATAATTCTGCTAAAAACACTGTAAGTCACACAGATGTTTTTTCTTTCATTCACTGTTATTCAGCTAAATTTGAGTTAAATGTTAGAGAGGAAGTCAGTGAAGTTAAAACAGGAACATCAACAGTCACTTTGGAGCATCGTGCGAGGCTCTGCACATCAGTGATTAAAAATACTGATGGTTCTAGAGTAATAGTTCAAAGCTCAGGATGAAAACTGCTTCTGGGTCACAGGACAAATCTGATCGGTTTTAATAAACATCTTAATGCAGTATCAATACTATCGATTATATCATTAATGATGCTGAATATATTGTAGCCATAAAATTATTTATTTAATTCCACAATGAACAATTAACAAGCTACAATAATTGAATGTCTTTATCGTGTTTTTGCTAGTAAAATTCACGATCGTCATTCTCATAATTTAGAAGGTGAAGAAGTTAAGAGAGAAATCACTGCTTGAGTGTTATGAGTTATGAATCTGTTCACTATCACTGGAGCTTCAAGGTGTCACGTCTGTGATTTGTTGTCTTCACAGGAGGCAGAAGAAAAGTCAGCATAAGACGACCGTCAGCCCCCAAACAACCACATCATCAGCCACAGTGTCAAACTCATTATGATGCACTTTGCATGTTTATTACTGTTACACAAAAGAAACCAGACATCATTCAATGAGAAGAAGAAGCAGCCGAGATCCGGTGCAGATTTGTCCACCACATCCCACCGTGGTCTATGGGACTGAAATCTGGTGACTCTGGAGGTCATTTACATGCAGTCATCTCACTGCCATGTTCAGGACACCAGCTTGAGTTGTGAGATATGGTTCATTATACTGCAGGAAGTAGCCATCAGAAGATGTGTACACTGTGGTCATAAAGGGATGGACATGGAAACAGTAAACAGTGAACACTGTTCAGCTGTTGGACTGGATACATGTTTAAGTATTTGGGATTTTTTATTCTTTTTTTAATGCACTTATCATCAAGAGTGGCTCCTCCAGCTGATTTTAAACCAAAGCTCTCCAAACCAGCTGATATGAGAGATCCACTTGAGCTCGCTTCATAGTTCACCCCTCTGTTTTCCTTCCCTCGAGTGCAGCCTTTGTGTTTTGTGTTTTATTTCATTTCATCGTTGGTCTGTTCTGGATTATTTTTATAACGTGTATATTTTTGGATTCTCGGTGACTGAAATAAAGGATGTTTTCTGTTTGCTTCACTTTCTTGCCTTTGAGTCCAGTATCTGGGTCCTTAACCTTGCACATTGTGACAGAATCTCCTCTTTCATATCTAAAACAACCAATTCTGAGATTTTAAGAACATTTTGCTCTCTAAAAACGAGGCTTGATCGTCAGTGTTCAGTGTCAACACTGTGAACTGTTTACTATGATAATTTTGCAGTTTGCTTTAAAAATTTCGCTTAAACACGATGCAAGAACATGATACACATGTGTGACTCAAACAGCTTCATCATGAACTCGAGATCACTGAATCTGAATCCTGCATGAAAAGGTGTGTCGGGTTCTGAAGACATAACCATTAATCTTGTAAGAAGTGAGGGGATAAAACATCACTCTTTCACATTTAGCTGGTGAAAACTGTTTCGTGCCAAGACTAAATTTATTAGCCTTGATTTTGTGTTTAAGTCACTGCTTCCTGTAAGGAGTTGAACATGGGAATAATAATAATAACACATTTCCAAACTCCAGATGTGAAAAAGTTATCTGAGG